CTAAATATTAATTTTTTATTTTATTATTCATATTCATTCTCTCTCTTCATCTTTTAATTCAAACGTCAACTTTGTCTATGCGTTAACTGTAAGCAGCATTCGTTGAGTAGCGTACGCTTCTGAAGTCTACTTCCAGTAGCGCGTTTCCGTCTCATCCACAAAATTACTCCTACTGCCCCACCTACGTGCATAGTGAGCGAAAAGATGTTCATTTCCACATTAAAAAAAAAAAAAGAAATATACATTTCTATAATATGCGAAATATATTAATACAAAAATATAGTTAAATTAATAATGAAAAATCTTGAATTAATAACAACTACATTATTATATTTTATTTTGCAAAGAATGCTTTCACAATATATTTATAATACTTACATACATATATAACATAACACGAATTTGCATGTAATTATGTAGGTAATCAACTCCTTCCAAACTTTTTCACTAACCTTTTTGGATAAAGATGATGAGCTTTTAAGTGTTTATGAGTAAATCTTTATTCCATTTTACTTTCACTAAAAAATATATATAAAGCACTAAGAGTAGGTTCTAACTAATTACAACTTTCATGTTACAATCGTGTACATAAATAAAGAAGAAAGAAACTCACAGATAAAGAAACAACCAAAAAAGGCAAAGTTAGCGAACGCATAATTCTTACCATACTGTTAGCAGATATTAATTTTTGTTATAAAACTGTTTTATAATATAGGGCATAATAAAATTTCTTAATTTTGTTGTCATCTAGTTCAGATTCAAGAAGATCATCAGATAAACAGTCTTATCTTTTTACTAATATTAGTACATAACGATTTCGACAATTAAAAAATTATTAAGAACATGTTTACAATTGAACGTATGTATCAAGCGTGCTGCTTCTATGATAATAAAAAATAAATAAATAATTTTTCAAGCTTTACAATATGTTTGCATTTACAACCTTGACTAGTTTAGTTTGGTATAATTATAGTACTTGCCTATATCATTGACAGATTACTTAATCATCTCAGATTTTCTTTATCAATTACCAGATTCTTTTTGACTCGAACTTGCTTCAGTTAATCCCACTGAATTAAATTCTCCTGTATTACAAGGAATGTTTGGTATTTGCCAACCCTGTTTGGTTATGCCCACAAAGGATGTAGTTGGTTTTAAAGGAGATGGTAAATTTGACGTTGGTGTACCTCCTATTTTGTCTATTACAGAGGTATTAATTTCCGAATCGTTTGTAGCATCTAAATTTCCAGAGAAATCGGGTACAGGTGAGAAAGAATCCAAAGAAAATTTGTCGTCAGGACTGAAAGGATCTGACTTACAACTTGGTTTTAGTTTTTCTGGTGTTACCTCTTCTGCAATGCTATTTTCGGCACTTAAATCAGATAAATCGATGTCGTAGCTTACACCAGATAAACCTGACAGACTAGCAATTGTGGGTGTGTTTTTTGTAGGCGAAAAGGCTACATCTTTTATTATGGAAAGATCATGTTTTTCGAATTTAGGTTTTTCAAGAGCGTCAAATGGAAAACCAAAAGATTGAATCTGTAGGTTTTTCCAATAATAATTTGACGGGCCTGGTTTGTCTTCATGATTTATACTTTCGTCCAACGAATTCTTTTCGTTACTGTTTGATGAGGTCACTAATTTTGTTTTATTTCCGAAAAGTCTATCCTTACTCCAAATAAAAAGTTTTTGTGGCGGTTTTATGATAATTGGAATTCTTTCCAGGGTTGATGCTACTTTCGTAGTTATTTCCGTCTAATAAAATTGAAAAATTATTAGCAATAATCCTCTATTTCTGATTAGTTACAAAATAAGTGCAAAACTGATAGTATTGTTGTATATACAGGGTGTTTCTGAAGTAAGTTAACTAGATGCAATAGGGAATTGCATGGTGAGTAAAGTGCATAATTAAGGGACAAAAAAATTGCAAGAAAATTAGAAGTTACAAACAGGTATTAGTACAATAAGTTGAGATAATAACTAAGCCGCTACATTGGTGGAGAATGTAAACCATGTTTTTCTCGAAACGATGAACTTTTGGACATGCAAACATTTGCTTAATTTTCTTGTTTTATAGTGCTCCATCACCTCCTGTAAGCTTACCACTTATTTCAGAAACACCCTCTACAGTGTACTGTGTACTATTACAGTTGCTATTTATATCACACACGCATGCTTAAGATATCCTGTTAAATCAAGTAAGATTTGTAATAATATCCCTCATGAAAAAATTGAAAATATTAATATATAAAATAAAACAGAGAACATACGAATGTTTTCATAAATTGGTGAAAACATTCCCGATCTTTATTTCATTTTATTAAACATGTTTCACACTGCTGAAAGTTTCATTTATATTAAAATTTAGTATTACTTTTTTTTCTTAATATTAAATCATTATTTATATACAAAGGATTTAAAGTTTCCCATACAAGCATACTAATCTTTAGCGGAAAGGGTTTTCTGTTTGGTATAAGATATAAATCTCGTTAACTATACTTTAAAACTTACTTTAAACTTTTCTATATTACTTTTCAGTGTATCAGCACCTTGTTTGACCGTGTCAATTCTATCTGATAACATCTTCAGTTGCGTCAAATGTTCACAAAGCTGGTGCATACTTTCGCAGGCAACTAAAGCAGATTCCCAAGCACTGACGGGGGTTATAGCACCAGTCATGTATGCCTTAAATTCATTTTCTGGCATATTTAGTGACTCCGCAGTTAGACTTTCGATAAACGATACTGCACAACACTACAACAAATTTTATCAAAAAATATTCCATATCTATAAATTAATTTAACTACTATTCTATTTAGATATATGATATTTAGATAACCTAAGTACATCAACAAAAAAATTTAAAGCAATATAAATAAAACGAGTGCATCGTTGATTTAAAAACAATAAAAATAAAAGAACAACATATTATTACAGAAATATTTTATAAGAACACGTGTACTAAGATTCTAAACAAAGACGGTTTTCTTTTTTATGAAAATAATTAGTACAAGTACAGTGGAATTCGTTTATAATGACATCGAAGGGAATCGACAAACACGTCATAATAACCGGACGTCATACAAAGCGGTTTGTGAAAAAAAAAAAAAACATTTTTATGTATGTATTTAATTTAATAGAGAAACTTAGTAATTAATCAAAATTGCACGTTTATTACGTACACATTATACACATACAAGTGTATTTTTTAATGAATATAATCTGTAATTTTTGTCTGCTTTTGTTTTTTCATTTT